AGATGGTTCTCTTCTTCTAGTTGGGTTCTACTTACAGGTGGTTTGTTACAGCAGGGATAATGATGAGACCATCCTACAGGCTACCACAATACCAGAAGGCATTAGCCTTCACAAGTTTGAAGGCCAGAAGCTTTTACTTGACAAATCAGGATCTGCCCTGAGCTCCCTGCTTCCTCTCAATCCTTGTTCTGAGCAAACTGAAGGCTGACACCTGGGACCCTGACAACAGACTCAGAAAACAAAAGCTGATGTTACTGAGGCTACCAAGATATTCTGTTTCCTGACATTAAATGGAGACAGTATTCTTCCATCTCTTTTGCTCAGTAAGGATAAAACTTGACTATGAGGTGTTCAGAAGCTGAGCCACTGCTGGTGGTTCAAATATCTTTCTTGCATGATCCCTCAATTTCACATAGCAGCATCTTAGGCATTAAAGCCTTGCTTTCAGGGCATGCCTGGGACAGAGAAGCTGCCATCATCCATCATCCCCTCCTTCTGCATGGAGACAAGGCACAAAGCACAGTGAAGGATTTACTCAGTCAACACAAGATTTCTGTGCCAGGTATAGACTGGATCCAGTTCCTTACTTGCAACCAGGTTTTTGCATTTGTATTTGTCCCTCCCTTCTAGGCAGGTGGTTTTGATCCTGCAATTTCTTTACATGTGGTATTTTACCATTCAGGTTCTCATCTGAATGTGGTTATCCCATGCTCTCACTGATGGACACCAGGCATGTCACTTTGTAAGGTCTGCCCACAATTATATGATGATTACTATAACAATAAAGAGGGCAAGTATAGAATTGGGATGGACAGAGTAAAATGTATTTTACAGTTTCATAAGACTTAGAAGCATAAGGTTCTTCTTACCTCTGAGACCATGTAACTCCCTGCAGAATGCAGAACAAAATCCCAGGAGTACAGAGAGGGTTTGAGGATGGAGAATCAGGAGGAACAAACAGGAAAAGTGACATTTTCGTTTAGGCAGTAGAAAAACCCAGTAGATCAGATCAGCCACCCTTAAAACCACAGCCCTCGTTTACAAGAATTCACTAGGTCAAAAGAAATGGAAGTTATTCCATGCCAATGATGAGCAGAAAAGCAGTGCTGAGCAAGAGAAGAAATGAGCTTTGCAGAGAAGTGCAATACCCATGCAGGCTCTCAGGTTGTACATGAGAAAGCAATGTGTGTGTGAACAGCTGGACTGCTCCCTAAGTCACTGTAACTCCATACAATCTGTTACTGACACAAAACAATGTTTCCAAAAACCACCCACCCTGTCATACTTTGAGAAATAGAAATGTGCCTTGTCATTTCCATTCACACAATACACAGATCAGAAAAAAGTCCACAATACAGGGCACTGCATTTTTACACAATATCTGGATCCCTACAGGAAAGGAGTAGCATAATATGGAGTCTTCCTCTTTCTTTCCTCTTAGTAAATTCCCAATAAAGTTGCTTCACTTTCTAAGCCTCACATTTTTTTCCTCCCAGCTGTTGTCTCTGCCAGCTTGAACTTGACAATTGAGAGGGGTAACTGGAAGGTCACATTTTAACCATGATCAGGACCAGAGAGTGCCTTCTCTTGAGACTGAACTGAGCTACAGATGAACTGAAGCACCTCCTGAAGTCATAGGAAGAGCTCAGCTCATCTCAAAGCTTCTGGAAAGAGAGCTCCCAATATCTGATTACCAGTCAGCTGGGACATGCATGGGGAAAGGCACCACTGCCAGACCCAAGCCCCAGGTGTGGCTCTTCCCAGGTACAGCACAGACATGTCAGCGAAGCGTCAGGGCATGAGCCCCAGCCTGGCACACAGTTGCCTGCCCAGTCTCCTGTGACCTCAGCCAGAGCAGCCAGCATTCACCCAGGCAAGGTCTGGGCACAGTGTGAGGGTCAGCAGAGGCCAGCAGTGCCCTGTGTGCACGCAGGCAGCTGGACAGCAGCCAGGCGAGCCCGTTGGTGTGGGCACCTAAAACGATCCCTACCCTTTACTGGGCAGCAATTTATCTGCACAGACATAGCCACGAGCTTGAAATATAAATAGTTATATCTAGCAATGGGGAATGGAAACTGTCCTGGTCATTGGCTTTGATGTATTTATGGTTGGTTTTAACGTAAATCTAAGTTTTCAGTGCTAACGGTCCAAGCCTGCTGAGGAGTCTCTCCTTCCGTCACCATATTTTGGCAAAAGTCAAAAATAAACGCATTCACATCTCCTACCTCTTTGTCTCCAGTATTCTGAAGGGATGAAAGGGATCCTGAATTGGACAGAAATCTGTAGCACTCACTATTCAGACTTCAGATTGCAATCATAGCTGTGCATATCTGAGCAGCCATCCAGATGCTAATGGAGCTGATCCTGTGTCAGTAAGATTAGAAAAAGGCCTCCACTGTTTAATTTTTGGATATTTATTGCCTATAAATCAAAGGGCCAACACATATTGACATAAGAGGGAAAATATTTTTTTTTTTTGCCTGTGTTAACAGCAATGTTCTAAGATAAAGCTGTTATTTTAAAACTTGACTTATTTTTACTTTTCACTAGTGTTTTTAACTGTCCTGAAAAGAAGGATGTTTATACAATTTTGCAAAGAAACATGAACTGTTCTACTCCATTTACATTTCTTTGTTCCAAAATGTATTCCTCTTGTTGAGATTCCAGCAGACAAGGAAAGCAGACACAGCGGTTACTTTCCAATGTGAAACTTAAAACCACAATCTCCTGCTCAGAAAACACAGAATGAGTCACAGGAAGGGGCCACTTGCTTGCAAAACTCATTAAAAGCAAGGCAAGGCAAAATGGATTTCCTGTATCAATAAATAGATTGCTGGCAGTAGGCAGAACACCTGACAGTGCTGGAGGCTAAAAACCGGTCCAAGGGTAACCATTAGTAAAGTCAGATCAATTCTTCAGCTCAGAAACTCTATCTCCCCAGTACACAGTTTTCTTGGAATTAGTTGGCTTAATCCAGCAAAGTGTTTAAGAATATGCATAAAGTTTCAGCTCAGGGAGGGATGAGTTAAACACTTGCTAAAATAGGCTGGAAAATGATGATATCTGTATTTATTCACTGAAGCAAGCTGTATTAAGAGGATGCATGGTACCACCAAGGTGCCAATATTGCAGGTGAAAGCTTTGTTTCCCAAGTTCATGAAATAATAATAAAGAAGCCCTAGTCCTTACATAAGCTCAAAATTTAGCTGTAATTGCAACTTTGTTTTGCTGTTAGCAGTACTCCTTGGACACTTGAGCATAGAATTCTTTTTGTTCAATGTTATTCTCTTATGTCTGGCAAATGAAGCCAAAATGGCCTTCTGATGCCTTCTGTGCAGCACAGACACACGGGATCTCAGGCTGCACTGTTTAGGGGGCACAAGGCAGAGCTCAATGCCTGACCCAGCACCAACCAGGCTCAGCACAGGGGTAGGAACAAGAAGGTGCCTTTTGACCACTTGTTCTGGTTTTGTTCCCTTTCTCTAGTTCTCCTTAGAAAAAAAAAAACTTAATTCTCATTTTACCTTTATTTTTCTCCCTCACTTCCCAATGGCTGGAAAGGTCTTGATGAAGGTTTCTTCCCACAGCATCCAACAGCTGTAATTCCTCAGCGTTCTCTCTTGGCTCCCACTTACAAGTAGCCCTTTGACTGCATATTTTCAAAATGCTACTGAACACAATGAGGGGCTGTATTTTACTGCAAGCACAAAAGTGAGACTACCTGAGGTCATGGCACCGTGAGTATATTCCCTTCACCACCATACTTTGCTGGACATTTATGAAAAGAAATTTAAAAAATAAACATAACACAAAGAAAAACCCACTAAGAACAACCTTCAGACTTCACCTTTTCATGCATTCATAAAAGAGCTGAAAGTTAAACTAGTTATATTTTTAGGCACTAGCTCTTAACATCAACCATCTTGTGTCTCTTGCAATAAGCTATCCTGAGGTACTTGATGGCATATGCAATGCATATTGAATTAAGGCTATCTATTCATAATGAAAATGTAGTATTCAGGCAATAGTCCCTACCTTCCCTGTGGCATAAAAAGGAACCCCCCAACAACGTTATGGTCTTTACTCCTAAGGAGCTTCCTCCCTCAGTATCTCTAGTGTCAATGGGATATTTCAGGAGCAATGAGTGTGTCCTCATAAAGTTTGGTTTGCTGATGCAAAAGCACCATTTCTCTGACTTTTAATTAAAAGGGCACCTTCATTTCCCAGTCTGTCTCCAGAGCTCCAGGGTAAATGTTTATACAAGGCAGAGACATACAGAAGACAGAGAAAACTGAAGAAGCAGTGACTGCAGGCTGCCCAAATACGGCTGCTCTTGTATTTTTAACAGAGAGCTTGAGATGCCGCAGAGCCTTATCAACCCCAAACATCTTTGTTTTCATACCAGCACGCACAGGCCTGGCACTATCACTGCACTGCAGTGACTGCTCAGCAAACCTGGCAGTGGGAGCAAAAGGCACCACTGTGTTCTCAGAGACAGGAGGAAAAAAAAGGTTATTGGCTTTTCCCCAGCAGGATGGCCTATGTCAAAGAGAAGCCCCACAAAACAGGCTATCTGGTCTCACTGCCATGGATGACAACATCCCCATTCAAAACAGATGGACAGTTTTTGCTTAGGTCACACTAGGAATTAGACAAAAGGAAGATTCAAAAAACGCCGGGGTGGGGTAGGATTCCTGACTGCTCCAATTTGCTCCTGCTCCAATTTGCTCCAGTTCTTGTCTGTCTGCTCTTGGCTCCAAGGGGCTGTTCCCATGTCCCAAAACAGCCAGAGCCCAGATCCTGGCCCCATCTCCCTCAGTAAACTATAATCTTTCAGATTTAAAAGGCTCTGGGTAAAACACTGCAGCTGAACAGCAAAAATAATGTAAGTTATACTGGATAGTCCCAGTAAGAAACAGGTAGTGGAGACTGGAGATAAAAAAGCCATGGTTCAGCAGTTCTGCAAAAGCACTCTGCCATGATCAAAGAATACAGGAAAATAGAAAAGTCAGGAAAAAATTTATTATTGTCTTTATTACAATATATATTTCTACCCTTGTTGCATTCAGCAGATCAAAATGAAGTGTTAAAGCTATTTTCATCACTGCAGTAGCACATACATATACAGAGGAAACACTGTATATAAATAGGCTTTCAAATAATAACAAACCATATCTACAAATAAAAAATAACCAATACCTCTTTCTCTTCCTTCCCCAAATTACAGCAGTAACATTTTATCTTCAGCATAACTAATGTCACAAGTACAATATTCTTTCCCTCCCATGACCCAGCTAGAGTGGTGCAGTCATCAGCATCAAGAAAGAAAACATTAGCCACTCCTCACTGCTGCATATTCTAGTTTCTGTGTATTGTATGAATAGAATATACTGTGATTTAATGTGTCTACATACTTATGTTAACATATTCTTTCTGTAACAAAAACCAGCATTACACTGCAAGCACAGTTGATTTTTTTTCTTTCACAGAAAGAGTAGCAATTTTTTAAACCACACTTTTTTCTTCTAAATGAGTTAACAAAGAAATTTAAATATTGTACTAAAATTATTCAGTTACCAAATCAAAATGTCTTATACTTTCTGGAAAAGTATGGTGATGCTTCTAGCAGGTCAAATCCTTGATTTTCATGTAAGTGTCTTTTTAGTCAGTAAATTTGATAAAAAGTTACAGCAACACACATTCCTCACACTCTTCAGCTAGATTTCAATTTTGGATACAATGAGGGATGCAGCAACTCAGAACTGAAGTACTGAAAGTCACAGAATCACAGAAAAGTTGGTCAGAAGGGACCCCTGGAGGTCATGCAGTCCAACTTCAGCCTTAAAGCAGATGGTTACCAACAATAGAAAAGTCAGCCATAACCCTGTTTAACCAAATCTTGAAAAACTGGGACAGATTCTGCAGCACTTCAGGGTTACCTGTACCAGCACTGCACTGTGGCCACTGTGATCTGACAATTAAAATAGTTCCTCATTCACACTATCATTTGGTTTTAAACACTAAAGCCAACAAACAACCCTGGACTGCCTATTTATTAAGTTATAATATATATTTATTAAGTTATATCACAGGCTTTAATTGTGGAGAACATTCAGGGACCATCTTTTCTGGTAGGAGCTGCTGTGTGTAGCATCTTGGGAAAATAGATTTTAACTACTGTTAAGGATAAAAACCACAAAACTGTCAGCCTCTCACTGTTTTATTTTATATATCTTACATAATAAATGGCTTGAAGTAGGCCTTTACCAAAACTGAATTTAAATAGGATGCAGCTAGTACATCTGTCCATATATTCAATCATTAATGACAAGTATTAACAGATAATTAAAGGAAAGTGTGGCTACATTTAGAGATGAAACCATCTCAGTTTGGCAATCTGCAATCCCCACTGATTGTCTTTCAGAAAATCTACCCCGTATTTCTTACACCTTGAAGTAAAAAGATATTTGCATTTGCTTTAAACTTTCAAGAGAACACAATCAGTTCTGGCTTATCAAATACTCATTTCTTCCTCTTTGTGTCCTGATATGTCCAAAGCAGATATTTACCTTTCCTGAAGTAGCAACCTTCATGTGAAAAGAAGACTTGGGGAGGACTCTCCACTGCACACTGCAGCTATGTAAAGCATTGCACTTGTTCTCATTACTATTGAAGGCACAGAGAAAACATTAATTGGCCCACTAAGATCCCAGATAAAGTCTTCAGTAGTAAACTTAGAAAAACCCTACCAGAGAGTTACCATCCTATCTACACTGCTATCACTCTTGATGTGTAAAACCAGAATCTGTTGTTACAGAACAAATGTGATCCAGAGCAGTCATTTCCAAATTTCTGGGTGATAGCCAACCACAATCACATCTTAAAATTTCTGCTGGACCACTCTGCCTTCCTGTTATTAAACTCTTAAGTGAAAACACTACAAAGCAGTTGCAAAACACCTACTATAGCCTCGGATCACAGGCTGGCAGAGACCACAGCTTGTGAACCACCAGTGTAGTCATACTGAAATACAATGTACACAGAAACCCATGATGCCATTTTCAGCATTTCAGAGAGCAATTAGACTTTTCAGTGTATTTCAAAAAGAAGAAGTAAGTTTCTTTCCTAACTACGACACATTTGAAATAATTTGGCATGTGGGCACTTGGAGTCCATATTTTAAGTACCACATTGTCTAAAGGCAGACCATTTGAAAAATGTTATCAACTGATCCACAGTATTGCTTTTAGTGCACACAGTTCAGTCTTAAGGCTGTCAAAAGCAATATCTACAGCTTGTGTCTGGATAAATAAGGAAAAAAAAAGAAAAGAGGCTATTTCATTGCCTTAAAGGAGAGTAAATTGCACTAAAAGTATCCATTCTTTATGATACAAAACAAAGCAAAAAAATCCATACAGTAAAAACCTGAGATACATCATTCACCAGCATCAAAATTCACATTTTAACCAAAATAATATTTCAAACAAAACTATTCCATTTTGATAAAATCCTTACTATTTTTGGCTCAGTAAAAAATCTTCAACCTCAGCACACTGTGTGTGAAAGATGTGTTTACTCAAAATCAGCCACTTCAGTAAGGCGGGCACTATCCACAGTGGCCTGTATTTTCCATTTGAACACTTACCTTGATCCAAAAAGCTACTCTTGAAGCATGATAGTTCTCAGACTGAGAAAGACTGAAAGAATCTGGCATCCTATTTAATGTACTTTCTATTTAGAATACACATAACTAATTTCCTCAGAAATGTCCCATGTCAAAACAGGCTGGAATAAATCAAACACAGCTCAATTGGGTTTCACAGCTACACTGATTTACATCTGCTGAGAATCTAGACCAATAATTAACTCTTAAACAAACAGTTGTTGGTCAAGCAAGGGGAGAGGGGAAGAATCAATTGCTCCTTCAGAGAGCAGGATTTTGATATATAGATTGCAATCCCTGTCTGTAACACCAGATAATGTCAGGAATGGTGAGCACCTTCAGCTCCCTTACTGGCAAGGGGTTCTGACAGGATGGAAGATGGCTTCAGTGATGCAGAACAGATGTGGAATCACTTTACAACCTTATGGCATGTTTTACCTGCAACCCCAGCATCACTGCACTTTTAATTGATCTTATATAATGAAAGTGCATGGCAAAATTTGAGGAGCTGAGAGAGGACCTAGAAAAGCAACTCCTATTTCTAGCAAGACTCCTCTTGTCTGGAAACCTGACTAAGTATATAAAAAGCATAAAAAAAGCATTCCAAGTTTGCTCACAACAGAGGATTACAATGCTCAAAACTTCACAGATTCCAACTGAACTGTCAACAGCAAAAGCCAAGTAGTGTCCTTCCAACACAAGCCAACCCATTATTTGAAGTGAGACCAACAATTTGGAGATGGGGTTAAGATGAGGCTGGATGTACATCCTGAGTTTCAAATGGAGGCAGAGGTTCTCTCCAGTAGGTGAACTGGCTGTAGGTGTCAGAACATGGGAAGTCTGAAGAATGACTTCTTTTCAGCAAAGGGAAAATATGGTCTACCACTTCACAGAGTCGGACATAGCTGGAAAACAAAACAAAACAAAACAAAAAAAAAAAGCTGAACCTTTTCATTTTCATTTCTTTAATGCCCCCAACCACTCAGGCATGACTATATTTACAAAAAGACAAAGTGGGCAAGTCACCCTTCTCAAAGGAATAAAACTAAATTTAATTTTGGTGCCCAGCTTCCAGAAAGGATTTACAGTTAGGATAAGAAATTCATTCTAATCCCTTCATTCTAACAAATGATACTTACCTAGTGAGAAACAGATGCCATTTTACACCCAGATCATCTGCTAAAATATTCAATCACAACATTCTGCTTCTTCATTTCTGTCCTGCTTGGCTCAAACAGCTCCCTGCTCAACTGATTATTCATATTTTATACAGATATGGCTCCCCTTCAATTAAGGACACCAGCACTTAACATTATTAAAAGCCATTCCAGTATTAGGGGTTACCAGTGCCTAAGCATCTTTCTGGAAGCACTTGAACCGCTCTTCAGATTTTGTTTTTTGGTTCTTTTAGATAGGAGATCCAGGAAAAGAAAACTTTGAAAAGGCCAGGAAAAGGCAGATGGTGTCAGCAAACTAGTGAGTTTCATTTTTATACAGACTAAATCATCCACTTCTAAATCTTTTACATGACTAAAGTAGATGGATTATACTAAATACAAAAAAATTCTTTTTGTCAGTTTAACTGAAGGGAAGTGGAAAGTCTGTATTTTATTCTAAATCTTTTTTGTTTTGTTTGAAGCATTCAAAACAATCTTGAATTTCTACAGCTGAATGGATCTTTGGGCAATTTGAGTCATAAGATACAGCAAATTAACTTAGTCCATAAAGTGTTAGGGATAAAAGATTACTTACGATGAGATGTTTGTTTTTGCATGCTCTTGTATAAGTTCTCCTTTGGGATTAACTGTAAATATTCTGTTTAAAGAAACCCCGACTTGTTTGTATGAATAAACATCCTAAAAAGAATATAAAAAATGAAAAATCACGATTCTGCCTTTGCAAATCCACGTGTAATCTTGCTGTAATATTTTACAGCAAGAACATATTTACACAGAACTGGCACTACATTTACCTAGTTATTGTGTGCCTGAAATTCTCCATTATGTTATAAATGAGGTCAATCTAATGAACTGTTCATGAAACAGACAATTTGCTACTAGATAAGAAGTTGGCCACAATTTTTTAGTAACTTCCCTCGACACAATAATAACATTCAGTAAAGAACTAATGACATCTGGTGTAAAAGCACCTTCATTTTTCTTTCAGAGAATATTTGATGTCCTGTGTGCATTGTACCAAGTACGTTGCAACAGTTACAGCTGTTGAAATGTAACTGACATAAAACAGGAATTATTTTTTAAGGACAAGGTCACAAAATTCATAACAAATATGCCTATACTAAAGCCATCATGTATCTCCTGAGTTCAGATTTGTGGCATATTCATATGAAGAAAAGCTTGACAAAACCAAAGTTTAAAATATCTCCCAGAAGATCAGAGCAAAACCAATTTCCATTTTGCTAATATAAATCATGGTTTTAAAAGCCAAGATGGTGAAAAACTGGAATGCTAATGAAGCTACAAAGTTTGGTTTTATTTCTATATTGTAAAGGCTGTTCAAAAAAATTAAGTAACTGAACAAAAGTGAAGAGCAGTCACTTTAAGAATTCAGCATCACGGCAGTCCACACACTATCTACACCTGTAACACCCATGTGTACAGAAATTTCCCTGAGTTTGTTCTTGGAAAAAACAATCCAAACTAAAAACATAACAAAACAAAACTACAAAAAACAACTTAAAAAACAACAGAAAACCCAGAGCAGAAAATTGAGAAAGCTGTGATCCTGAGCTAAGCAAAACCTGTAGCATGTTTCACACCTGAAGCCTGCACTCTGGCATCACGCATGGGAGTGAGCTACTAGTAATTACTTCAGAAACAGTAACTTACTGTTTTACTTGAAATAATATTGAAATATAATCATTATTTTAATGCATGTTTCCCTGTGGTTCAAAAAAATGGAACTAGAGGTAGTTATTAGCTGTAATACAACATCACAGAAGTTTTTAAAAAGTTATTTCATAATCATATGTTTAAAAGTGCTTTGATAATGGAAACTAAGCTGACTACAATATAACAATTCAATACAGCAATAGGATAGTGAGGAGCTCTGTAAGCTCTGACATAATGCTTTTAAAGAAGGGATAATTACATGCCAGGGTCCCCCCTCAGCCCAAGCCCATGACACTGTTTCCTTCTCTAGATGCATAACAACATTCTTTGGTCAAGGGCAGGAAGAGGAGCTTTCGTTAGCCCAAATATCCAGTCTTCCAATGAGTGACAGAGATCTGTCTTTCCTTTTCTATGCCAAACATATCACTTTACATATCAAGTAGAACCTTTCTGACTTCAATGGGACATTCAAGGTCTTTTGAGTGTACTCAGGAGTTTGAAGTGTCAATCCCACCAACATTAATCTTAAATATTTTCTGCCTGCCCACAGTTATCTCACTGACACTGTATCTGTGTGGATTAAAATGAGATCACTGTTTCTTCACAAGCTTAACTGCTAATTTATGCAGATATACATAGTTACTCTGCTGCTCTTCCATCTCTGAATCCTACATCATGGTATTTTTGAGGAAGAACCTTAATACTTTCTTTTTTACAGGGCCTAATAAAATGTTCCTAATTCTCATTTAAAGCTTCTAGGTTCTAATACAACAGAACCATGAAATAACAGCAACATTTCTGTTCTCTGCAATAGAAATAAATGCACCTATTACTTACAGCAGGTCTGTTTCCAAAAGCAGCATAAAAGGGTTCTGTGTTAGGATAAAACAAATTCTTGATGTCTGTCAAACACTGAACTTTAAATTTTTCTGGTTTCTTTTCTATGACCTCCCTGAAAAAATAAAAAAGGGAAGTTGAATAAGTACACATGAAATACACCATAAACCATTTCATCTTCCTTATTCAACATTTTCACCTAGCTAGATACTACTGCATAGCATCCAATAAATCTTTTAGAAGTCAGATTGCCCATGATGACAAAACAGTATTCCCAAGCTTACATAATGGGCACAGTAAATAAATCCTCTGATACAAGGTAACTTCTATTGAAATCTATATTACAATGATGTCTAGAGAGCAAAAATAGTGGATTACAGGGAGTAGCTGCTAAATCAATCTTTATGAGGAATAAACTCTTACCAAGTAAACTGCCTCCTGAGAACTGCAGAATGATTCATAGATTATATGAGCCCTCACTGTTTATGGTGCTTTTTTTTGTTTTTTTTTTTTTATTTTATTTTTAAAAGGATTGCAATCACCATATGTGCTAAAAGCACCTCAGCCTGTTAAGACAGAATTACAGTCAGGTTCTCCACCACTGTTAATTATCAAAAGTTAGGGGATTTTCTATTTCTCTTCAGCTGCTTCTTGAACAGAGAATTCATTAATGAACGCAGGAGTTAGCTCATCTCTGGGCAAAAGCCCTTTCACGACAGCTTCTCTTGGCAAGAGGACTGAACAGGTGGCAGAGTCTGGAGTTCCCATAACATAGGAAGATGCCAGCATGACACAAAAACACTTAAGAAGCTCAGAATCCTAGATCCTAATACCAACACAAATGTCAAGGAAGATGTGAATAGTACAGCTTCATGGGAGTAAAGCAGCCCTTTGGAAGAGTAGATCCATGTGTAAATCAATGCCTGAGGATATGCAAAAGATGAATAAAACCACTTTCCTCAGTCCCACATTCACCTGATCTCAAACCTACAAGGATTAAATTTATGGATAAAACAGTGAAGTCATTTATTGCCCATACACCTCAGCAGTTACAATAGCATACACTGCAAATGGGCATTCCTTAGTCTAAACTTAAGATACCAGAAGTAGTATAATTTTAAACGTATTTCTAGATACAAGGAGCATAAAGTAAGAGTAACTACCTTTCACTGCATTTATTAATCAGTCTGAGAAGTGCACTGTAATACCTCCAAGGTTTCTTATATTTAGAACACGACTGGTAAGACAGCCTGTAGCATGTCACTCAATCAGGAGAGCATCTGAACAACCTTCCATTAAAAATTCTAATGAAATATATCTTGTCACAGCAGCTTTTAACAGCTTAAAACATTTTCAGTAATCACTTGACATGCTTCGCTGAATTAGGCAGAAGGTACAATATTCATAATCTGCGCTGTTATTATTCACTCACCACAGTTCAACACCTAGAAAAGATAACACTGTCCTCACAGAATCCCAGAGTGCAGTCAGGCATATAGAAAGTTAATTTCATTTCCACATTAATTTCTTCAAAACTCATCAAGAAACAACCTTCAACAAAAATATACTTATGCCAATTGGAACACCTTACAGGTAAAGAGAAGAGTGATTGCTATGAAAATGTCCACATTTGTCCCATAGCTAAATATAAACACACGATGTTAAACACATGAAGTCACCAAGCAGTACCTACTGGTAAACAGTGAACACAGCTGTGCCTTAATATACAGCTAAAATACAAACTAGGTAAAAAACAGGAATTGAGTAACTACTGAATTTTGGTATTTCTCTAACAAAATTTCTTCTTAATTGTAAAAAACAAATTAATTAATTATTTCAAGCATTCCCACTTAAAAAAGCTGGTAATTCAGCCTCCACCAACCTCAGAGTTTCCTTCTCTGCAAAAGTAAAATTGCATTACCTGTGAAGAGCTGAGAATAGGCTGCTTGGACTCAGCAAAACTGGCCCCTGAGGCAGCACAGTTCCTCTTTCATTGACCCAGTGCAAGTATCCTCTGGTCATGCCTGCCATTCCAATAGCTCGTGCTGAGCAGTACAAAAATTTATATCCATTTCTGTGAGCAGATATAAAAGAAGAAACTACTGTAAAAATAAAGCGAGTGTTTAGACAGAAATAATTTTGAGGGTTTACTTTTACATGAATCAGATCATGGCTGTTAAATAGTATGTTTAACCCAGACTTCATTTAAAAAAAGTAAAAACACATATGCAAAAAAAACTGGATAAGTAAAACCCATCTAGCCCTGCTACATTTAGTGATTACACCTAAAGAGAGCTCATTTATCTCTGCTCCTCTCAAGACTTACGACTCCTTATGGTTACCCTTCCACCCCTGTGTGGTGGAACCACTGCCCTTAGAATTAACTGAAAAGACATTTGCAAAGAGGAAAACACTTGACATAAGCAGACAATGGTATATTGGCCTTTGTTATATTAACAGTGTTGCATTCCTGCCTCTCAGGCCTCTGCAAAAAAAGATGTCCAGCAGTAACATATTTTCTCAAGCTGGAACAACTTGAGCTTCAAAACACAGTATGAGAAAAAGTCTTTAACTTGACACTGAAATTGAAGTTTTGGTGTAAGTCACAGTGCTTTTGATTCTGTTCATGATAGAACAGAATCCAATCTGATATTAGTTCAACTTAATAGCAGCTTACTTTCCAATTCCTATTAAAAATCACTTTTCATAAAATAAAGAAATACAGTATTCAGCGCACACATGGTCATTAGATCTATCCATTAAGCATTTATATGGGGTTCAGCTGTACTATCTAGCCACTACGTAATTAACTCAGTAATTTGAAAACCAACAAGACTCAAATCTATTTTTCCCCTATGTTTATGATCATCAAAGCCCTAACAACTGATAATGCTGGCAGGCACAGAAATAACAACTGCAATTAAAAAAATTAATTAACATCTTCACCAAATGTATTGCAGAGGTTATACACAAAACTCAGCATGTGAATTCCCAGACTGTCCTGTCTTTTCTGTGAACACGTTTGTCTAACGTGCAGACAAGTGTCTCTGGCATAATTTAGATTCCAACACCCATAATTTATAATTCATCATCTATGCAAAACAAAAAGTATTAAATGAACCTTAGCATAACTCTAGTACACAGAACAAATCAGATTAACTAAGAGGAGAGTTGTGATATGTACCAGAGGCTCTTCAAACATTTATGGTAATTTAAATATATAAGAAAAGCTGACATTCTTGCAATAAAAGAAAACAGCAATCACTAATTCTCCATGTAAAAATGAAAATCAGATACTCCATCTGACCCCATTCAGACATCAATTCATTTTTCCCTCATTTCCTTTTTTTCTCTCAAGGGGTAATTACAAAGATCCCCATACTCTGTATTTGATCTTCCAGTGTATAAAATGGTTTGGCTACATTGCAAAATGCATCCAGGGAACCAACAGCACACCTGTACTTTTGCACTAGCCTTGATCACCTAGAGACATTCCTACACATCACCACACATGAGCTGGTACAGTCTAATTTTTTCTCTCCTGTTCATCTTCATCAGAAGAAACATCCCCATTGTCTTGGAAAGCATTGCTCTAGGTCATACCTGGATATAATGTTAATGACATTAACTGACCTAAAGCATAGCTGATATACTGTTTCCTGATACTTCCCCAAGAGCTAATGGTAAAAAATATTTTTTTTCTAAATATGGTTAGATCCCAGGTATATTGAGCTACTTTTGGAAGATGCCCATCTTTCTCCTAGAATTACATATGATGCAAAAGCCACAAGTAAACATGATTAATCCAAGTCCCAGCTCCAATGGCATGGAAAGTATTTATTACTGTGGACCACCAGACATCAGTGCAGGTCAGATAGTAGCCTATAATACAGCAGGTTAAAGCCTTTTCCTTAGGTCCTTCACAGAACGGTCCTTATTGACTTCCAATAATTTAAAATTGCATTTTAAGCAACTTTTTTTTAAGCAACTTTTACTTATCACTTGCTCTCAAAATTAACCAATTACATAAATATTTTAAGACTGATCCTTCCTAACCTTGCAATTTAACAATAGATTAGCAACACTTACATATAGAAATAAATTATACAATCAGCAGATCATCATCAATGTCTTGAAGCAAAACAACAATAGTATTAGTAGTGAGTATCCAAAATAGATTTCTAGTCAAGATAAGACATTGTGCTGTGCTTTAAGGATGAGATTTATCTTGCTTGACTAGAAGCTGGATGTTTGGACAGTTCAAATCAAATCTGTTTCACTGAACTCCCTTTCTACTCAGTGGAAAGAAAGGGAACTCCCCCAAACAGATTCATTCCATAAGTTCTAGGTTCCATCCCTGCACAACTCCAGGTAAGTCAAGTTAGCAAGAAGAATTCCAACTACAGCGACCACCCTGGGCCACAGTCTTTATGCATTTCTTCAATAAGGAGTGAAAGGAAGGTATATTAGCATCTTATGAATTAATACTGCTGCAATTCGCAGTTTGCAAGAAAGCTCCACTTTCTGCAACTGCATAACTCATTCAAATTACTGCAGTCTTGGGCACTTTCTGTATCTGTTTGGGCTGGTTGGAAGGGGAATCACCACTCACAGATATGGGGCTTTTGCTTTTGTTACAAAGCAGGTTTTGCTCTGGATACCATGCAGGAGACACACTGTGTAATCATCAGTAAAGCAACAAGGACTTGATGAAACTGTCACCCTTGTAGGTTAAGAGAAGCCTGGAGAAATTTAAATTTTTATGTGCAAATGAATAAACACAAGGCACAGATGCATGAACACATTTACTGAATACTCACTGGCTCACTTTATGGTACAACTTCGCAATCCCTTGGTGTGTCCAGTCTTTGCCAAGAGTTGGCAAAATATGACCTAAAGTATCTGACCTGAATAAAGGAAAAACAATATAAATGAGCTGAAAAAAACCCATACTTATTATAACAGTCAAGTATACAAATCCCACTAACTTACTTGGGTAGCTGTAAATGAAAAGAAGGTATTCCATAAGAGACTGATTGTCATCAGAAGAGAATTAGTTTATTTCCCTTTTTTTTAAGATAGACTGACATTCTCATCCTTGGCCACATTGTTTAAATTACTCCTGTGCCCCAAAATGGATAAGCCTGTGCCCCAAAAGGTAATACAGAAGTCACAGCACACAGGCCATCACTCAGACCTCTAGGAGGTCACCAATGCTAAACAAACTTTTTAAGGTTTACACTGTTTTCTAAATAAACCAAACCTACCCATAATTTAAGTTTATGGCAAATTGAAAGTATGAGGTAAGTCACATTCCAGCTTACTTCAAACTAACTTCTCCACATTAAGCCAGTAGTTGGTCAGGTGTAAACTATTTTGAAATATTTGTTAGCTTCAATGTATTTCCTGCTTTATATGATAGAAAATTATTTACACTCTAATAACAAATAGTGCAAATAAGCATCTTGCTTTAAAAAGCACTGTACAGATACACAGCAAAAAGTCAACACCCTGAATAACTTGTATCTTAGAGGAAGAAATATTGGGCAGTGGCTTAGGATGGATTGGCATTGGCATTTTAAGGTGAAATGATTCAGTAACTCTGGGCAGATCAATAGCAGAGAGAATAGATCCCTCTCACTTTACTGAAGCTTAAAAAAGCGAAGTGGGGAGAGGTGTTAATTTATGTTGGCACCAAATGAGAAGTTTGACATACAATGGATAAACCATAAGAAGAGAGTTTCAGTTTAAATCAAGTATTTTAATTTCCCTCAGATTGTTCTTGAAAATTATTTTTTCCTTCTTCTTTTTCCTAAATAGATATAGCTAAATTTGATTTTGAAAGAAATTGAATTCAAAACAAATTAAACACCTCACTTCAAAAGACAATGCTTGCATTTTTATTTCATGCTTTCCCTATTCCACACACAATTGTCTTCCCCAGTGTTAAATACACTAAATAAATAGAAGCCAGCCAGTCAGTGAATCATTTTGGTCATGCCAAAACTGTGAGTTCTACCCTAAGTACTAATCTGAAACTTTCAATCAGATTCTAGTTCTGACATTGATTTTGAAGTCTAGTCTTCTAATAATGCCTAACACTGGAATGCCCCAGGAATGCCATTTAAAATAAAAATTCACATGTTTCTTCCTTTTAATTACTCCTTCACATTTAATTACTCCTTTTAATTACTACCTACTTCATGAGTGTGATGTAACAAAAAGGTCATAATGTTGCAGAAGGTCCTCCAATACTGCTGTAAATACTATCATGAAACACCAACAGGTGACAAAAAATGGACACATATGGCATGTGTCTATTAAATTAAGAATTCAACTAAAGACTGTTGTATTGTTTGAAAGCCAAATTTTAAAAATTAAAAAAAAAAATTAACAATCAACCAAAGAAAATCAGAAACAAGAGACCAAATGTCCCAAAACATTTGTATATGAAGATTCTGTGACTAACATTCCTTATTAATGTTTTCCTTTAAACTAAAGAGGAAAATCCTTGTATATAAAGTCTCTCCCTGTTAATGAACTCACCGTGTGATTGTTCCATCAATATCAGAAATAACAACTTTATCATCCCAATTCCATAGGTAAATGGTACCTTCACAGCGGCAAGTGCCTTGATACTGGGTTGTAACACTAAAGGTCACATCATTGGGGCCATTCTTGAGCTTTAAGCTTTTCTGCAAGACATTATCAGCAAGGTGATCAACAAACTAAGAATCTGAAATGGATACAGTGTAAAAGCTGCCTTGGAATATTTGGCTGGGGAAACTGGTGTGGATTTCTCCTCCCATAAAGTCAAATCCATTTGTGGGATTGGTTTTGCCCAAAGATTAGAGTGTACTTGGTGGGCAATTCAGAAAGACAGAGGTTCTAGAACCAGTATGTACCTCAGGGATAAATAATCTGTGGTATAAGTTTTATGCTGCAGAAAGCAAAGTAGCAGCAATGACATGAATTGATGAAGAATGAATTTTGCACAGAGGGCAATGTAATGAGGACCCGAGCTGGACCAGTGTCTGGTGGCACCAATCAGGTATGCTTGCCCTCCTGTCTCAGCCACCCATCCTGATGCAATGGAGACCAAGTCATGGATCTGGAGGGGTGGAGGAAGCCCATGGAATGGGAAAGTAATATGTATCTGTGAAAGGATAAGATAGTGCAAATGAAACATGTGTTTGGTATAGAGATGATTTAAGAATGTAGTTAAGTTGAATCTGTGGGTAAGGAGGGATTTCAATAATGAGAAATAAATACAATGGAACAGTTAGAAGATATATCAATTATGTGGGAACTGAGTGTGATACAAACGGTATGGAACGGGGTAGAAATTGTATTAGGTCTGGCTGAGCTGGAACTAATTTCCCCACAGCTGCCCTCACAATGCTGTGCTTTGCACTGGCAGCTGGAAAGGTGTTGGTGCTTTGGGCACTGCTGAGCAGTGCTGGCACAGCACCAGCACTGTCCTTCCAACATTCCCCCCCCATCAAAGGGCTGGGGGTAGGCAGGATCCTGAGAAGGGACACAACCAGGCCAGATAATCCAAATTAACCAAAGGGGTACTCCATACCATACATCACCTTAGACATAAAAGTTAAGGAAAGGAGGAGGAACGAGGGGCATTTGTTATTTTACAATGTCTGCCTCCCAGAGCTGAAGCCCTGCTTTCTGTGAAGTAGCTGAGCATCCCTCACTGGTGGGAAGTAGAGAATATACTTGTTTTTCTCTTTGCTTATCGACCTTATGTTCTCTCTCCCGTCCCACTGAGAAGGGGAGTGACAGAGTGGCTTAGCTGGGCACTTAGCATCCAACCAGTCAGCTCAATTTGGTCACACTGAATTTTATTGCTTTCAGTAGAGATATTCTAAGTAACAACAGCAGAGGTTTACCCTGTGTGATGTATACTAGGCATTGATTTCTAGAACAGAACAAAACAAATAAACAAAAAAAATCTGTTTCACAGTCAGGTAAATTTAAAAAAAATCCCCTGATGTTCACATAAACAGTAACAAATGATGGAATGGGGACCATTTATGGGCGTTTCCCATCTGAAAAGCAGATAGATATGCAGAGAGAAATCTGAGTAACAAAAAGTTCCATAAACTGTAATTAAGACCCTTTTCTAGGGGGATTTGTGTTCTACAGTATTTTATCTCTTTTGTACAGTAATTGACCTCTCACATCACATGAATTATTACCCTTCAGCCTACACTAACTATCCCTAACTCTCACACTTTGCTACCCTTCACTGTCACCTGTGCCACTTAGTGACATGTGGGACAAGAGGCTACTGATTTCATTCTATTTGAGAACCTAGCTGTTCATTTTCCCAAGACCAAGGAATTTCATACTCAGTATATCTTTTCCTTCATTATCTTTCATTGCAACTTTTCAATTAGTTAAAAAGTGGAAAGGAGGTGAGAATACAGAACTCATGGGTAACTGATGAATCTCACCCACTGTTTCATCAAGAAACCAATTTAAGAGTAGTTTTAACGTCAGTTAATTTCTGCAAGGTTTCTGAAACTGAAAAGTCCCACTTCATTTGTGTAATCCCTGCTCTCTCTTTGCAACAGAAAATAATCAACACATCTCATCTGCCTCTTGGGAAAAACTGCATTTCTTACAAATTATCCAGACAGTGAGTGATGGGCTGTTAAATGCTGTATGCCTCAGGTTTCCTTCAGAAAATTAATTATCTGTACCTAAGATGACAAGAAGTATTTCTCTATAGTAACCCATTTTTCCAGGTCAAACTGAAATGTTCAGGACACAAAACTGCAACAGTTTTGTCATCATTAGCCAAAACAGGAAGAGAATTGGCTTCAAAGAAATTAATAAACTCCAAAGAAATCAATAGTCTGGGCTCATTATAAATTCACAAGCAGCTCTTTCAGAAGTTACTAACAGAAAACTGTATTTATGCAAAATATTACTATCTGCCTATAAATGAGAGAAAAGGAAAAGAGAGGAAGAAGAAAGAAGAGATGCCTGTTAACTTATACACATTTCACATACTACAAGGAAGGATATTGTTCCAATACACTTTCTCAGGTGACAAATACACACTTTGGAATTTGATATTTTTCTAAATGAGATCCCACCTCCAAACCCAAGCACTTGCTGCAAGGAACAACATTCATGTTTACTACAGAAAAGAGAAGGGAAAAGGCTTTTTTGAAAAATACAACAAGAGAATTAAATGTGAAACGTAAGAGCTAATTAAGCTTTGAAGCCTGACGAACAGTAAAGATTTATGTTGTATTAGAAATGCCATTTCAGAACAAGGATGTAAAATTAACTCACAAGTTGGTCAGAAGTGAGGCGAAGTGATTTTTTGTAACTGATTCCAGACAATAACGAGAGATGACTGGAGTTGGTTTGTAATGACCCGAGGTTTTGTTTGGCAGCTCTAGGGTCTTCATCGCTTGAAGAAGATTCATCTTTTATTCTGGAACATTGCACACACAGAAAATGATGTTATCATGTCAGTAAATGCATCTCAGTATCCATTAAAAATGCATTAACAGTGAGTCACCAAATAAGTCATTGATTCTCTGATACCAAGTACTGTCTCACAGGAGGTCATTCATATCATGAGTTTTAATATATCAGTAAAGTACCAAACTTTCATTCACACATTTCCCATTATTCAAACTTGGACTGTTACAAGCAAATGAATGGCTGTAACAACAGGTTCATTACTTAAATTTAATGAATATAAATTCATGTATTATGTTAACTCAAAAATCTCATATGATACAAAAATAATACCAATTAGATACTATAACTACAAAAAAAATCCTCTGTTCTCAAAAGAAGAAAGAGGCACTTGCTATGCTGGCTTTCTCTTTCCCTCTTCTATCCTCCCACAAAGAATTTAAAAATTAATTTTAAAAAAATGCAAGTTATGGAAGTTCTATTATACAAAATAACTTCTCCTGTTCTTTCAATAAGCAACTTCAGATAACTGGATTATTCTTTTCTGGGATTTGCAAGATTTCACTGTTCAGAATACAATGATGGAAAATCATAAAACCTGAGCTCCCTCACAGTCCTCTGTTTAAATGCGCATTGGAATAATTACCTTTGTTCTCCTACAACCATTTTTTAGAAACTTCTTAAGGGTATTCTTCCTCAGAAATAACGTTTTCCTACAGTAAAAAAAAAAAAACTAGCACTGTAGCTGTAAGTTAAAACTCTTTCAACAATCAATATTTGGCCTTTTATTTCAATCATACCTGGAGTTTGATGTTAGGCAGTCTTGACCCAATATCAAGGTACTGCATGTCATGACTATCTTATTCTTTGTGACATGTAATCTCAAAAGCTTTACTCAACATTCCACTTGTCATATTTTGCTTGAAAACAACAATTTTTAACGAGAGATTTCTAAGGCCAGTTAAAATTTAAACAAACAGAATTCAGAATCTAGTCTGCTTGAACTCTTAATACCACTTTAAACCTTATTTTTAAACAACCATGTAAGAAACAGACCTCTATGTCACTTGCCATCCTTAAAAAGAAAATCAGCCTTTCCAATTTATTCTGGCTCTTGATCTCAGAGAGGCAATGGAGACAACAGCTAATCTCCTACAGAATGAGGAATCCTCCTTCCAGCACATTTGCCTGGACTGCATCTTCTGATCACCAGAAAGAATGAGAGCTTTTTATTCCAGAAGGGCAACCCCTGAACCTTACTTATTGAGCATGAAGCATATTTGAATCTGGTCCTTTTCAGCTGTAACTGCAGCCAGCACAAACAAGATGTCTTTACATTAAGATGTATATGCACAGAAAAGGGACAACGTAGGAGAGCTGTCCCTGACTAACTCATCCCTCTAAAGCTAAAACTCATCTTATGGAACCCTCCAAGGTGAGATTCTGACTATACACTGTGATTACTTAGGAGCACAAGAAGGAAGAGACTTCTGCAATCCTGGAAACCACGACTATTGCCTGTGGAAAACACTCTGGAAAGTCCCTAATTTCCAAAATATGCAGGAAGCAACTAATTTGTCAGGCCATAAGTCTAAATAAATAAAAAAAATTAAGCAACTGGGAACTGACAACAGCTTGGGTTCATCTCTGATGTTCCCTTAGAAACTCTAGAAGAATACATGTAGCTTTGGAGAACTGTTCCAATTACAGTTTGTTTCCAGGCTGCTGGAATGTGTGTCCCAGAGCTGCCAGCCAAACCACAGAAATGCCAGAGTGCACTCACAATGTCTGTAGCCCTACCATGGGTAGGGGCCTCCTATTTGGACTTCTGTGGTGCAATGAGTAACAAATTGAAAGTATTTCACTGAGACAGTATTTCTTTGTTAGAATAGGTGAGGTAACTTGCTTTTGTTTTAAATGTCACTCTTACTTGTTTTCAGGTACAGATTATTTTTGGGTGTACCTGTTTGCCCTGCTCATCTGTGAAGAGTCTTCTGTAAGTCCACTCTCACTCATACCTTGCTCTGGCTTTGTTTCCTGTAAAAATACAAGTATGAGTAGCTGTGCATATCCTGCTGAGCAGAAAGTACATGTTTTTAGAAAAATATCTGAAAATCAAATTTTGCCTTGTACAGATTTGGTAAAAATCAACAGTATGTGTGTCTCCTTGGTAGGCAAAATAAAACCCTTAAAGAATAAAGGCAGTACAAAGAACTAAAAACTGCAACTATAAAACTCAGAACAATAATTTAGTTTTGCAGGGAACAAGTAGGGAAATACCAGGTTTAACATCTGGTACTGTTGAAGTTCTGGTATCAGCTATGGAGCTGATAACTCAGTTCATACAACTCAAATAGCTAGATTTCACCTGAGAAAGCAAAGTATGACCTGGGAGAAGGAAAAAAAATTACCTTTCAATTACCCACAAATTACCTTTCAGAGAATCATTTAAATCTTAAATCCAGTAAAACTTTCTAAATTGCTTTTATCTTGAGTAGATGCTGAACACTAACAAAGTCATTCCAAAAGATTTTTAAATAGCGAATAATTCTGCTTTACATAGCTCCATTTAAAGTTGCTACAACTCAAGAGAGAAGGAAATACTTCCAGAGAAAATCCTAAAAACTTCAAATAACTACAAAACTAAAATCTCATGCTCTGAAACCCATACCCACAGAACAGTACAATGGTTATCTCATGCAAGGTTAAAGAAGTTCTTGACAGAGGCACAACCATGAAATTGTATTAAAAGTCATTTTCTCCCCTCAAGTATTAATGCTTCAGTAGTATAAATTAATATGAAGAGGTTTTACTAGCCAACAATACTTTATATACAGCTTTGGTTTTTTCAATTTTCCAATGTTCATCCATCACTTTAAGATTGTTACCACAAACTTCTAACGCTCTGAAAAGAAACCAAAAGACTTTCAAACCAATATATATAGTCAGTTTGCCATCTTAGGTTTTGCTGAGTTTTACAGCTCACTCTATTCATAAATATGTCTGCCCTTCGACCATCAAAAGAAAGATGCTGAAAGGTAGGTAATCTGAGTGAAAACTTTAAATTAGTGGCACAACTCTGATTCTAGGTTTCCAAACAGAGATTTAATACATTAGATACCACTGCCCCAGATCTGTGTAATGAAAATAAATCAAAACTCTTCAGGAAAATGTTTCCGGTCGGATCCAAAGCCTTCTGCAGTCAAAACAAACCAGACTTCAGACCATGTTTAATGTGTATTTACTCAGTCAAACCGAGTACCAAGTTACCCTCTGAAGGAAAGTTCTGACGGATGAATATGCTGATACCCAGCCTTCTCACTGCAAACAGAAGGAAACTCTGCTTGCTTCTTAAACTTACCTCTTTAATAGTGCTGTTCCTCCCTCGCCATGAAAACCACCATCTTCCACCTTTCTTTGGCATCTTGTCCCTCATTATAGATTCCACAGTTGCCTGTGATAAATGGATGGTAACATAAAAAAGGCCCAAAATAAAGGACAACCTGACATACGTAAATGAAAAAGTGCCAAACACACAATTTTAACTGATAATAAATAGAATAAAAGTAAACATACTGTCTGTGGACCATAAATTCTACTAAAGCAAAATCTAATGGTATCCAGAGCTGCTCTGAAGTAACTTAAGCATGAATACTTATGATATTTTTAAAAGGAAAATGAAAAATAAATCAAATCAAAGAAGAAAAAAAAAGCATAAAGAGATATTAGTATAATGTCTAGAATGGAGGATCTGCTGTTTCTAAGTTTTTTAGTACAAATTATACATTAAAAAAAAATTAAAATATCACTTCCTGAAGGAGGCATCATGCAAAACAGTAACAAACTGACATGCAAGAGAGTTATTTACAAAGTTTGTATTTAATCACCAGCTTAGCAAAAAGCAGTTACTAGCTTTTATGAGTTTATAACTTATGAGTTTATGAAATTTCATGCTATGAACTTGTCTGAAAATGTCAGAATAGTTTCTTGTATAAACCTTTTCTACTTTACATTGGTTCTACATACTAGACACCAGTAGAAAAATTTCTTTCAATATCCATAATGGCTGGAGCCTTATGCATTTTAACAAGGGGAGCTGAATTTTTTCAATCAAAAAAAAACAAAAAAAAGAAAAAAAAAAAAATAAAGGAAAAATGGCCAAAAGGGTTGGGAAAACCCTGAAAAAGAAGGCCACCAAAATTCCGAAAAGAAAACCTCCAACGCAAAGAAAGGTAACAAAAAAAAACCGGGAAGGTAACAATTTTTTTTTTTTTTAAATTTAAAAGCCAAGAACTCTTAGCATTTAAGAGGGAGTTGTGTTCAGATAATGTGTAGCACAATGGATTCCTTTTCTCAGTTTTTCTATAGGTTTTCTTCACTATATTATCTAAAGTATATGAGAAAAAAGAAATGACAGAGGAATAAAGTTGAGTTTTTCAAACAAAATAAGGAAAACAGGGAGCAGATGAAGCTATGGAGAATGGAGTACCACAATTGAGAAAAACAGCTACAATTTAATTAGATTCTCAAACATGTCAACTTCAAGCAGATGACCTATAGAATTTTAGTGGGGGAATGCTTGTAATAAGATGTGCATTGAAGTGTATTTTACAGAACATCAGTAAATTTTTTTTAAAAAAACTTACATTTTCAGACACTTCATAAACTCTGTTTCTTATTAAATTATCTTAGTATTTCAATTCCCTAACTTCATTACTACAGCAAATCAAAACTCTACGTAACAAATGATGAAGAAAACCAGTAGGATGACTGGTAACAAAAACGAGTCATTTTAGTTTCAGAGGTACAGTAAACCAAGTAAACCTTTCCAAACATACAGATTGTTCCAACTATAAATATTGATTGGCTTCTCCACTAAATTAAAACTGCAGTCTCAAAAAAGTTATCAGCATTCAGAATATAAATTAACCATTTAAAAACCCCAAGCACATTTGGAATTACACACTCATAGAAGATTTTTCTCAACTGATAACCTATATGAATAAGGACATAAGTATAAAGCTGTTGAAAGAATTGCCATCTGCTGCAACATTATGGAAAATATTTTATAACACTTCTTTACATTTACCCATCCTAGGCAAAACCCAAGACATCTGGCTCAGGCTTTAAAGTGTTTAACTTAAAATGCAGTTATCTTACATTATTTTTATTGCACTGAAGACCCAAGAGATACCTATCAAGGCCTGAATTACTCTGTGTGAGCACCCAACAAATATAGAGTAGGATAATTTCTGTGGGCATTTGAGTTCCATGGGATGAATCCCACCTTTGATGATTACCAGAACATTTGCAGTAATGCATGAAACATCTGGCTCTGTGACATCTTTGACATTTAAGCCATGTGTACCAGATACTTGGGATTTTTAGGCCAAATTTATTTTATACTGGGATGGTACCATGCAGCTGCACATGACTGCATATAGAGGAAATGTGGCACTAAGAAAGAAACACTGGCAGAGAGTATTCTGGGCTTTATAGAAATTTTTAGTCCATAGTAGAGATAGCATTTGAATTCACACAGAAAAATCCCAAAGATATGTGAAGTGCTGCAAACGGCAGGAGAAAAGTTTAGGTTCAAAAATGTATTAAATCTGTGTCTAACCAGGACACAAAATTTTGATAGTGGTGATACTACTGCTTTAGATACATTTACAGTATTGTAAATTACATTACCAGGTCATGTGGCATTGAACTAACTTCTTCAGCACATTTATATAAGACAACACACGGTGTTGTTGCACAGTCATAGAGCTATCTGGCACTACCTACCTGGATTATGAACAATTAACTGAGAAACCAAAAGCTAGCAAGCTGTAGGCCTTCCTCATCTAGCATTTAAACCTTATTCACTGAGGTTATTTATATTGCCTTAATAATATATGCTGTACATACATAAAACAGAAAGCAAACACCAAGTATTGGCTACAGCAAACACTAACATGGGTCAATATAATTTATGTTTAAAATCCATACTAATGAAGTAAAAAAGAAGTTTTCCTACTTTAAAATAGTTGTAATAACTTTAGCCTAACAAACAAACACTAGTCACAGACCAAACTTAGTCCTTATTTAGGCCATCACAAGACAGATGAATTATTATGTGCGGGTAGATTTTACTGATTTGCAGATTCTCTCATACAACCCATTTCCCTCCCTTAATCAGTGGCATCATTTCCAAACTCCTCCTCTTACCAGCCTTCATGTTCAATCTCACCTTTGGCAAGGGTTTCTGGAATGCCTGCATTGCCAGTAGAAGGGGACCAGCTGTCGTCCAGTTGTAGTACCTGGGCATGCAAGGGAGACAATTACAGCATTTTGGAATCCCAAAGTCCCAATTCACAATCTACCTGGTATTCACCACCTGGCAGGTTAAAGCCATGAAGCACAGGTCAAACTCTGACCTGCACTAGTAATAACAGACCCATCTAATTCCACAGAATGCTCACAGGTATTTACCACATATATTTTTCAGGGTATGCAAGAGAAGCTAGGCCATGAGTAGAAAGGGTGTTTGTCACACATTACTCAAGTCATCACAGAATCACAGAATGGCTGGGTTGGAAGGGATTTTCATTCACCAGAACCACCAAATTCTTCTCAACAGAACTGTTGTCAACAAGTTCATCTCCCAGCCTGAACTCATATCTGAGATTGCCCCAAACCAGCTTGCATTTTAACTTCTTGAATTTCATGAGTTTCTTGTGGGCCCTCTCTTCAAGTTTGTTTAGGTCCCTCTAGATAGTATCACCTCCTTTTGTTGATTCCACTGCACCACTCAGCTTTATGTCATCTGCAAATGTGCTGACGGTGCACTTGGTCCCCACTGTCTATGTCATTGACAAATATACTGAAGAGCAGCAGTCCCCAAGACAGAGCCCTCAGGGACACCAGCTTCCATCTGGACAGAGCAGTTGACTGCAACTCTCTGGTTGCATCCATCCAGCCACAGGCCTTACTGTATTCCTCTTTACCACAGCATAAGCCACATTTTTACAAGCTTTTTTCACTGCTTTTCCACCAAGGAACCACATAAAACTTAGGGGCTGCAGTCTGTAGGATGTCAAGCTCCTGCATTTAGATGTTGAACACAGCTCAACCCCTGTTGCAGACAGCAGGACAATTACAGAACCCATTGTCTAGGGAAGGTAAAGTTCACATGACATTAAGAGAATATGACATTCATGATCCTCACTAAGGCCTCCTCTCTCCCCAGTACATTCAGCAGGCAGATAAATACTACCATCAGATTCAGAGAACAGTGTCAGGGAAGCAATGAGTGACTCACCTCAAACCACAGAGAGCTGAGGTCAGGTATGAGGCTGCAGCATGCACAATATAAACTACCACCTGGTACATCAACCTTGCATGAGCCATGTCTGTGACTAAGGGTAGCCAAACCTCTAAGTGCAGCACAAACCCATGATCTCTCCTCTGTTTGCAAGGTGCAAGGAACCCTCAAGTAAAAGAACCCCCCAAAAAGCTGCATCTGGCTTAGAACACAGCACTGCCCTTCTGCCAGCAATTATAAACATACAAAATAATGTCTTAGCCTTACAGAAATGGAAGCCTTATATTTAATCGGTGAAGTTTGACAAACCTTGAAAAGCAATGCCTCCACAGAGGCATATTGGCAAAATATTCAGTATATTAAAAAAAATTGCTCGGTACTGAGTGACTGGAAGCAGACTGATGTATCCGGGTAAATATTAATTATTCAAACTGGCTCAGGGCAAGCCTTAGCAAGTTCACATCGTATTTCATTTTTACTCTGTCAATTGAATGTGAATACTATTAGCATTTAGTAACAGCTTCTTGAAATTCAAACTGTGTCAGTAATAGGTCATCTGAAACTGCTCTTCACTTTCAGTTCAAAGGAGGAAAGGTAACTAGAAGGACCTGAATTCATTAGGGAGTTGACTCTTTCTGGATGAATCCAAGCTACAAAAATTCAAAACCCGGTTTTCAGCTACAATTATACAATGTAATGCACTGAAGGGACAAAGAAGTTTCTCTTTACAACAGTAATTTTTTTTTCTGAAATATACTTACTTATTTCCAATCTTAACCACAAGGTTAGGGTCATCAATGATAGCAGGATTGTCCACAAACTGCTGATACGTTACTGCATGTTCTAAGAACTCTTCTGTGGGGGAAAAGAAGTTACATTTGTAAAGCATGCATTTAGAGATGACTGGGACGGACCAACCTAAACCTCTCGGCACCTCTCAGACACATTGGTTCCACCTTCATTACAAGGGTGCTGAGATTAACTGCAATATGGAAGCAAGTTGTTCAGAGACTTTCAGCCTCAGAAGATGAGGGTTTCTTTGTTTCTGGGTGTCTTTCCTTTCAAAATACAACCTAAATTGAAAGCTTAAGGATTGAACTGTGAGGGAGGAAAAACTCCTTTTAGAAAAATTATGTAATTTACAACTGATCCAGATGACAGTATGACTCAAATAAATCACAGGATATTTGAAACACTTTAATAAGTAGCTTGTGAGCAGCTGTCAGTGTAGCATCAGGCTCATATGATTTTATGACACCACATTACTGCAGAAAGTGCAAGTGTTAACACATTTATTTTCACATGGCCACATTATGCCACTGGAAGTTTAAGGCACAAAGTACTGTGATTTATCTAAAAGTTACACAACAAACTGGAGGTAAGGCAGGAATCAGGTTGAACTTTTCAATTCCTTCTCCTCATGTTCCCATTTATGGACCACCTTTTTCACTCCTGACTCCAACAGCTGTGAATTTCCTAGCTATATACTACACTAAGTGGCAAAAGCACCATTAACACTACTACTGTGATACAAGACATAGCACTATTGGAAGTAAAAATATCAATAAAATAATTCCAAAAACTTTCATATATGGTGGATTGTTCAAATGTGTTAAAAATCAGGAGAAGTTCTAGGAAGTTCATCATTATACGGCCAGTATCTGTCTTCTCAACCCAGTGCTGAGTACAGCCACAGGAGGGCTCTGCAGCCTCAGGCTGGGAAGATCAAACCCAGCTGCCAGCACATGTCTGCAATTCACACGGTCATCCTGTACCTTTGGTTATCTCTTTGTTCTCAGTAAGGCCTCCGCAGAGAGAAATGGCGATGGAGGGCAAATCCCGAACTCCATCCGAGGTGCTTTCAGCCCCACTGTCAACACCAGAGCTCCCGACAGACTGCGGAGAGTGGCTGGACGGCCGTGGCCCCACGTCAGCCATGCTCTTGCTTTGGGCATTATCCCCACTGGAAAAGAAAAATCAGGAATTCAGGCTTCAGGTGTGCATTCCCAAATTCACTCCCTTTAACATATACAGGCTTAGGAAAAAAAAAAAAAAGGAAAAAAAAATAATAGAGAAAAAAAAAATAAACCGCCCTTGTTTAATTTTTACAGCAAAAGAAAGTAATATAGGCCTCGTGCGGCCTCCAATATTAGATTGCTTCTGCTTACTTGTCTAAACAAGGCATGTATAATTATAGCTTCACTTATTTATAAGAGCTAGGAAAATAAGACAATAAACTGTACAGTCTTAGTAGACAAAAAAATGGTACAATAATCAGAGTTTATACTAGTAAAACTATTCCCACATGGGAACAAGAATAAGCATGTAAGTTTACTATTTAATTTATATCAACTATATAAACTGATAGCTAAATGCAAATAAATTGTGTATGTTTGTGTATTTATGTATATATAAATAAAACACTCTACATGTAAACTAATAGAATTAAAATTTTCAGAAACAATAAATCATTATACCCACTTAAACTCTGATGAGATCAATATTACAAAGTTCAAGCTCATCAAACTCTGATTTCCACTTCAGATTTCTATGAATGCATTTGAGAAATTTTCAATCCAACGTTTTCCCCATATAACTAATCCTTCTCAGTTTTACTGAAATGTTAATATTACAGCAGCTGAGTTTAAGCAAGCAAAAAAAGAAAAGTAAAATACACAAGCTACTTTAGTTGTTGCTTAATGACTTTCATCAAGTGACTAGAGCATATGTTGAAAGAGAACTATAAATGTTGCAAGACACTCCAATAAAGATCAGAACAAGCTGGAAATTGTATGTTCAGAATGCAGTATTTTCATATGTAATTCTGTCATTCATCTTCCAAAAATTATTTTCTCACATTAACATTTATAGGTGAATAAACCACAGTAAAGCAACATTAGACCAATAATTTTCTGCTAATACTGGTACCAGTAAGATGTAATCTTTATGGTAGTAAGTCAGGACACAGGGATAAATATATCCCAAGGCCACCTGCTCTCCCAGGACATGTGAGTAACACTCACAAACATCAGTGTATATTAGATAACCATCCACAATCAATATATGATGCTTAATTGACCAAAACAGAAAACCAGCTATAAGCACCTTTCTCAGGTTCAAATGCAGTACCTTCCAAAAGCTCTAATATCCCTCTCTAGAAAATTTTATTTTCCTTCTGCCTTCATCTCTGCTTGAACCCTGAAAAACACATCTTATCTGGTTGGCAATGAAGAGTTTGATCTAAATATGGAAGGTGAAAAGAGCTCTTTAGAAAGTAAAAATATAAGCAAAAGACTTATACTTTTTGGGGAAATAAAGTGCAGCAACTTCTGGATCCATGTCAGTGAGGTCATCTAAATAGACACCATCAGCACCAAGATGCCGACTCCGTTTGTCTGCAAGGGACAGAACAAATAAACCTATTAATTAATATTTTCTGAGTAACGGTACAGAGCTGTTATTACTGTTTAGCTATTCATTTTATAACTGAGAAACCAGAAAGTTATAAAAGTTTGTGAAATGCATTTGTACAAAATGATACTGCCAAAAATCTCAAAACAAGTAGTCTGTATACATTGTTCAAACTATGAATTAAAACAGGACAGCAGAGGACTAGTTTTGAGACATGCCAAAGACTCCCTATCCCAGACAAAATCACTGGGAATCAGAAGTTAGTGGAAAATAGCAAAAGGAAAACCTTCTAAGTATTTGCATAGGCCTATTATCACAGTATGGCAGGCAGAACACTGAATCTTTGAGAACTAAGCTTTCTCCTTGAAAAAGGGAAATAACAGATTAAAATATGGTCACTAACACACTATAACTAGCTCATTAGGGAGACAACTGACTTTTAAGCACATTCAGCTGATGTGTTGTGAGTGCACATGCACCACTGTAGGGGACAACACATATCTTCTAGGCCTGTCACTAGGACCAACATAGAGCCACCTCTACCCTCTTGTTGCCAGTACACCTAGATAAGTAACCACTGTAAGGTCAAAACCTAATTTGGAATTCATTCTCAAACCCACAACTTCTCACTGTCTCAATTTCCAACACCAAGCATAACAAAAACAATCAGAAAATCTATACAAGGACTGAATAGTAAGCAGAGAAACACATCATTTTTTTGTTTTCAAAGACAGTGGAATGCATGGGGAAGAGGCCAAGAAACTTGTCCTTATTTTATGGCAAATCTGTTCATTGTGCAAAAGACATACTACAACTTTGCACTAGAGCAGAGAGTTTCCACAATTTCCAGCAACACATCACTCAGGTGAATCAGCAGATCTACAGTCTGCTTATACATAAAAGTAAAATCCCCAAATCTATCAAAGGGAGCAAGTTTTGTAGTCTTGCTCACATGCACAAAACTGCCAACAACTTCACACCAAGAAGAATCATCTAATACATATCTCATGTGAACAGCTTGATGCACAACTCAGGTTTTGAAGGCTCATTCCAAAGCTTATTCCTCTTCTGATCTGAAAGTGCCTTCAGGGCATGGATTAATTTATATGGCAATAAAATGCTTTATCACCATAAAATTTGAAGATAAAGCCATGCATATAAAAGTGCAGGATCAACACCTTTACCTTTCTTTCTGGAAGGGGAATCCGTCTTGCCAGTGGGTTGGGCTGAGCAAGCTGCAGCTTGCTTTATTTCTTCATTTGCAGGCAATGGGGGTTCAGCTGCTCCTGGCAGCTCTGTCTCTGGCTTATTTGTCTCAGCTGGTAAGGGCTCACTTTCATCAGCAATTGCTGCATCTGCTTGTCCAAGGGCAGGTAGAGGAGACACTGTGTTAAACTCCTCTACAGGAGAGCTTTGGATGACCCGAAAGTGAGTGCTTTCAGAAGGATTTGCATCTACCATGCTGGGTTCCTTTGCTTTGAGCAGAGAACTGGCCTGTGAGGAAAATTTAACAGATTACTACAAAGAAAAGCCCTTAAAAAATACAACAGACAGAGTTCAACCTGTTCTGTTCACTCCAATGAGATCAGACTGTCAGGATCACCAACTACAGCAAAAAAGCCACAACTGAGATAGAGACCTCTCTGCTGTGTGTTTGTGCAAAAATCATTTGCATCTTGGGGCCAGGAAAAATTTGTTCTGTAATGTGCTCTAGAGTCTTCATTTTCCATTCACCTGCACTTCCCACCTCTTACCCTGCCTTCCTCTATTCCTGTGAAAATCTGGCTTTCTCTCAGAAGGTTAACCTGACAAACAAGATAAGGTGGTGCAGACTGGAGTCCTTGCACAATCAAAATGGTCTCAGGCACCAAGACACTAATTCCCAGATTTAGAATTTAAATCACTTTATAGGAACAATTCCAGATCTTCTCTGAGTGTGGGACAAGAAGTTTTCTTTCTTACAGAAGGACAGAGTGGAGCTGAACTACAGCAGCAGCTGCTATAACCTTCATGTCATAGCAAATAAACAACTCTTACATGAAGTTCAACAGCAGCCGAAGTATGACTCCCAGTTCAGGTAAGGCAAGATCAGAATAGCCTGGGACACAGACAGGGACTGCAGAGAGAAAAGCCTCTGGGAGTGAGATTTGCAATACACACCAGGGTGTGTGACTGGGATAAAAAAGATACACCTAAATTTCCTAGCAGGAAACCCTCCATTATAGACTGCAACTGCCAGTTTGGAACTCCTGCATGGACCTGTGCACTTAAATCAGCTCTCTTTGAGCACAAAATAGCTCCCAAATTTCTTGCAATGTACACAGGGAGGAGAATAGTGCAGAGGTGATGAAACAGCTCATGACTGACATATTAAAGAAGAGACCAGAGCTCCTCTAAAGGAATTAAGAATTCTGGATTCCCACCCCTCCTTTTTTCACTAATTACCAACAGAGAATTAATTACAACAAATTATAATAGTGCTATTATAATTCTGGTGCCATTGCCAGAACATAGAAGTCTCTTTGAACAGGATGCCCACTTCCCTGGCCTGCAAAACAGCAGATTTTCCTCTTTATACTGTGTGTGAGCCCATCTCACCTGCAGTTCTTTCTGCAGAGAAGCCAGCCTTCAGCAGGAGATGCCAAACTCCGCACTATCCTAGCCCCCATCGTTGCAGTATCCCACTGAAACCTGACCTCTATCTCCCATACCCTGGTGCACGTGTAAACCCTAAGCCCCCCCCCTTTCACATTTGAATGCTGTGACTCCTCAGGAGCTGTCACAAGGAGCCAGACAGCACCTGACCAGCCTGCAGTGTGGGCAGTTTCTGTGCAGCACTGTAAACAACGCTGCCAGCTGCAGATCCCACACCTAACTGGGACAAGAAGAGAAGCACCAAGCCAGTCCTATCAGCCAAGAGAACAGCTGGTCTGCACACTCACAGAACTGCAGGTGTCTCTGGATGCTTTTGTACTGAAGCAGCCCATTTTCATTTCTGTGAATCTGACTGCTAATAACAACCTGATTTCCATTTAAGATAATTTATGAATTTCAGTGATTTACCAAAGGACACTGGGTTTCTTTTTTTTCCTGTTTTTTAAAGCTTCTAACTTTTACAAGACTGGGTCTCAGTTACTTCTTCATTTTCTACTATCTATCACCACTATTGAGAATATCAATGCCATAAGGTACTTTCCTATACCTTCTATGGAGAAGATTCAATTCTCTTACATAAAATACTGTAATTATAGGTTAAAACAAGGATCCATTTCCTCTTCATCAGGCTGCAGTAGACTAAGCATACATGCCCTATTAAAGCACAAAAGATGCTAGCAGAATTAAAGAACTTATGTTGGATACCTTTGCAGCCTGGGGTAGCTCTCCCCATGCCCAGTGCATATGGGGATTATTCTTCAGTCCACTTCTGTCTGTGGGTTTACTGACTAATTCTGAGTCACTTTGAGGAGTAGGAGGACGTGAGTCTGATGGGCTAAAGAAAAACAAAAAAAAAATGTTACAAAAGCAAAAGTAACCACAACGCACAAAGCACTAGCTTTCCAAACTGATGTCCACCAATACAAGAATTGAAGACTGAAATAATCAAGAGCCAACCTGATTTCAGGAGGGTTTTTGGTTTTCTGCATGGTAAAAAGAACAGGGATTGTACCAGCAGCAGCAGCAGGTGAATAATGTATGCAAAGTGCAGAAATTACTCACATCAACAAGATACCTTATCCTAAGTAATACTTCAATCTAAGAAATCCAGTTGACTCCTTTCTAACTTGCTCAGCTCAACCACTGGATGGATGTTTATAAAGAAAACAGCAGGAGAGCAACACAAAGAATCTGAACCCTTTCAGTTGAAACATATTCAACTGTTTTGATAATTACTTGATAATAAATATTTATAAATTAATTAGTGAATTATCAGCGTATAGTATTTTTAATGTAGCGAAGTCAAGAATGTGATGTCAATTCAGTCATTAATAAATAATGAATCACTAATTTCAAGGACAGAAGGAAAAATGCAAATAATCTGCTCTGCCTTTCTGCATAACACAGGTCACAGAATCTCCCCCAATGCCTCCTGAACAAAGCTTGCATTTTTTATTGGAGCCGTAACACGTCTTGGTATCCTTATCCAATCCTGATTTAAAGACTAAAAGCAACAAAAGAATCCACAATATTCCCAAATCAAAAGTCCAGATTGAGTTACTTTCATTCTTAAAAACAAAAGGCCTAATCTCATGAAGTGCCTAACTACATGAAGTTCAACAAGGCCAAGTATATGGTGCTATCTATGCCTGAGACGAGGCAATCCCAATACAGGCTGGGCAGAGAATGGACTGACAGCAGCCCTAGGAAGAATTAGTTGAGAGTGTTTGTGAACAAAAATCTGGGAGGATGGTGAGGAACTGGCACAGGTTGCTCAGAGAAGCTGTAAACTTTCCATCCCTGAAGACCAGATTGAATGGGCCTCTGAACAGCCTGGCCTAGTGGAATATGCCCCTGCCCATAGCAAGAGGGTTGGAACGAGATAATCTTTAAGGTCCCTTCAAACCTAAATCATTCTGTGATTCTACAGTTCTATGAAAGAGCCAAACCTGTATGGATAAAAGAATAAATCAAACATGAGGAATTTATGTAAAGGTAAAATCATAGAATGGTTTGGGTTGGAAAGGATCATCTAGTCCAATCACCCTGCCATGAAACCAGGTTGCTCAAAGCCCCATCCAGCCTAGCCTTGAACACTTCCAGGGATGGGGCATCCACATATTTTCACAGCAACCTGTTCCACTGCCTCAACACCTTCACAGTGAAGAACTTCTTACCAAAGTCCATGTTTTCAGCTCAAAACCATTGCTCCTTGTCCTGTCCATACACACCCCTGTGAAAAGTTCCTCTCCTTTTTAGCTACAGGAAGGTGTTATAAAGTCTCCCTTTTTCAATGTTCTGTAGAGCCAAGTGGTAGGGAATTCACTAATCACAGCAAAATAATTACTTCACATTCACATCTGAAGTAACAGTAACCTAAATAACTACACTATTCACTGTTTTCAACTACGCAGTAAAATACATATTGAATATGGACAGACACTAGGACATTTTAGCTATAGATATTTATGTTACCTAATTAAATTATAAAACTAATAAGCCATCTTTTTAGGGACTAAGAATTTCCATTTTTTATCCATCCTTAGGGCATAACCTATAATTTGACAGACAAAGGAATCAATAAAGTGCAGTTTTAGAAGTATTTTCAAGCTCTAAGGATTAAAAACTTGCCTAGTGGGTTTTTAGGCAACTGCTAAATCTTCCACTGAAAAGTGTGTAGGATTTGCAGCATGTTCCATATTTAGAGGCCATTGAAACCTGGGAAATCAGTAGCCTGAGCACTTCAGAAAATTTCAGTAGGCAGTAATGCTCCTACTGCTGATTTAAACCTAAAATATCTAGATTTAAGGAAGCCTTGTCACTTCTTGTTTTACTTACCCTGTACATTACAGACATTTTAACCCCCAAGATACCTGTTGTTTACCTAGAAAAATCTCCAATCTGTCTTTGTTCAGCCCAAGCTCACTTACTCAGACACCCTGAGAGAATAGAAGTATTGCTTCAACTCGGGTAGAACATCTGCATTTTGCAGTAAGAAAACAGATTTGGGTGGGAGAGGAACCTGGTCTTCACCATAATTTTCCCTGAAAATACAGTTCCCTTGTACACAGAGGTGATTGGGAAGAGCCCAAGCTGTTACTCAGCCCCCTGATTTCTACTCTCAGAGACACAAGGAAGGCACCAGAAATGCAGCACTAACAAACATGGCTATGTTAAAGCAGAGAGCTCTGCTCTGTGAAGGTTCTTGCTGCAACTGCTGCCCAGTGGTCTGGCTGAACTATGTCTTGCAATTCCTGTGTCCTTAAGTTATGCACTGACTCAGCCCAGCTGAAATTTCCTTGCCTTGCACAGATTGCTGAGATACTGCAGATCAAACCAGAGCCACCCATCCTGCCAACAGTACACAAAGAAGGAAGGGAATCTTCAGGTATTTAGATCAGCATCTCTGATTCACATCCCATAGATGCTGAATATTTGTATCACAGTCCTATATATTAACTGCTATGATTGCACTTAATCTAATCTAATGACAAAGAACAAGGAACTTGGCCTGTAGTTGGTAGTTCTGCAATAACAGACTACAATCATCTTTGCTGTGTTTTCCACTGGAAGCAAAGAGATCCCTGAAAAAGCAGCAGTATGACCTGAGAAAAAACCCTGCCTTGTGTGACAAAAAGTACCTGTGATAACAGACGATAAGGAAAGAGGCCTACAACACATACATGCTACAGCAATGTCTGAGAGCCTCTGAAGTATCTCTTAGGTGGCCATAATAGCATTCCTTACTTCACATGGAGGGGAAAAAAAAATGCTGAAAGACCCACCAAGCATTCTTATTTCAACAGCTGCAAACACAGAGCCTCACTCAGACAAGTTGCCACAGCACTTTAAATGTCTGTCTAGTCTGTAAGACAGGTGAACTCGGGAACAAAGTTCATGAAGCCCCCAAAGCACATTACTGCTCCATCCCAACCTGTGCTCCTCCCCTGCTTTGCCAAGAGAACATGCTAAGGAGAACAGTTTTGAACATCCCAGCATCTCTGACTTGGTGCTGCAACATGGTCAGGTTAAAGAAGGCAGACCTAGAAAATGGAAAAACCTCAAGATTATCAGTTTTGATATGGCTTTAGGCACCAAGTATGGCAACTATGTTGATATAAGCAATGAGTAATTTAGCCTGATGTATTACTCAAAGCTTTCCCAGCATTAATGGAGAATTGTACAGGTCATATTCTACTACTTTAAATTTTTTAACATTGCTGTGACCTCTCTCCGTTGACTTAATGGAGTTAAAGAGCTTGACTGCAGAATCTTGAGACTTCTTGAATTTAAGATAACCCAGAAAGCGTCTGTATCTACTTTTAGCTCTGTGGAAAAGAGGAATTCTACACTACTACAAAGGCCTAGAGAGACCAGTTTTCTTTTGGCACAGGGCTCCTCCCATTACAAGGTTTACATTTTTTATTGCTCACTTATTCTCTGAGGTTTTTGTTTTGCTTTTAGCAATCTATGCACAAGCAAACAACTGAAGAAAACCATGGGATTAAAATGTCATTAAAATATACACTGATTGTAAAAAGCTATGTGGAAATATCAGTCTTCAGAGGAATTAATTCACCATCTAAGTTCTTCCTTTTTGGGGTTTTTATCATCTTAATGAACTTGATTTTTAACCCAGGCTTTCATTGACATAATTTTGTATTAGCCACCCTCTTTCAATGGATGGTTCATCAAGGTAACTTACTGCTACTCAATGCACACAAAGAAGCAAACTGAGAAAGTGGTTTCCAATGTCACTTTCAAAGTGTCTGGGTTAGCAATAAGTACAGTTATAAACATAACAGCAGTTCACATAGTCTTAATGTGGTAAAGGTGTATTAAAGTGTTAAAAGGATTAAAAAGCAGTCCAGAAAAGAAGGAGGACAACTATTCTACCTGTCTAGAAGAGAAGAGTGAGAAGATTGTTGAGGACAAGAATTAGATAGGCCTCTGTCTGCTGGAACAGTGAGGAGAGTGGCTTGCCCTGTACAATCTATAGCCTTACTGGGCAGCAGAGCATGTGGGGAGAAAGAAAGACAGGGTGTCATTATATTCACAAGTCCCAATTAACATAAACTCTTTGTGCATTAGTTACACAAACACTCCCTTTACATTGAGAGTTTTCAAAACCCAGGATACTGCAATCAAGAAACAAACAAAACACACAATTCCAAAAGCCATCAAAAGGTCAGGGTATTGAAAAATGCTATCAGCAGCCTGGTGAAGCCAATCCCATCAAGCTTTTCAGGCACTGGACAATGTTTCTTCCAGAATGCAATTCAACAGTTCAATTTTGCCACTGCCCTGAAATAATCTCCTCACACTCCTTTCCTCTGCCCCCCAACTACAGAGGCAGGATATTGAGATTAGACTTGTTAAGACAAGGTCTTGTGAATATTGATGCACTCCAGCACTCTGCATGGGGGATGTGGAGCACACGTGCATGGGGCACACACACACAGACCTAACTAGAATTACTCAGTGCAATGCACTGAGCAAAAAATTGTCCCTTTTTGACAGACACAAAAAGGGAGGCCCAAACTGCTCTGTTTTGACATGAAAGGTATACACATGCACACAAATACACACACAGGAAAAAGTATGCAAATTACTGTATGTGCTCTTTTCATACAGTAAATATATCATATCTGTATTAAAAGCGACATGAAAAGCTCATATTCATTTTAAAAATCTTATTTTTATATATTAACTCCTATCTGGGAAATTTTTAAAAGGATTACACTCAAAATACTGAAGACTTATAAACCTACATTCACTGAAGCCTTTACAAGGTGCATCAGGCATATATTCAGATTTCACAAAACATTCCTCCTCTCTACAGTATTTATATGCAGTAACATTAACAGATAAAAACAGTCTTCAGAATTTATGGACCTGCATTTTTATGTATACATTTGCTGCATCAAGGACAAAGCCAACCTGATGCTTTGGTACACTATCTCATTAAAATATAAAAGCATCAATCTAATAATGGTCACTGACCATGTTTGATATCAGAATTGTTAGTGAGACTTCATATAGTACATGCACAGAAGACACTAATGGAAAAATTAAAAGAAGTGTACTATCTAGAACTGTACTATCAGAAAAGGTACCTTTGAAGAGGTGACCATTCTCCATCTGAATGAGGGTAAGGTGCAGACTGAGAAAGCACAGAAACTGAAGGAGCCTTTATGTCAGATACATCATCAACAAACACATCTGGAACAGGGATCCTAAATTGGGGAAAGAAGTGACATTTAAAAAAGTATTTGGTTACTGAATTTTCATATACCTCAACTAACAAACCCTATCGCAGAGAAGAACTAGTATAACCTGAATTAAAAGGAGATAAAGAAATGTTATCTCATTCAAACCATCTAGTTCACAACAGTATAGAGGATTCTTATGTTTTTAATGTCATTTTCATTACTTTAATTACTAACATTCCCAACAGCTTTCTACCCTAAAGCTTTACTTTTAAAGTAACATCTTCATAAGCCATATGTTCTGACTTAGAAATAACTGCTAGAAGGCATGGACTGGAACATTAACCCAGGTTTTCATTACATATCTCAATTCCACTACGATACCTTGAATTGTCCAATGGCTCTTTTTCTTCCTCTGAGCTAATCTCTATGGGAAACAAGTCTTCATCTTCTGATGTGTCTCCATGTGTGTCTTCTCTTTTTAAGCTGTCTATTTTATGAGTTGACTTCCTCCTCTTCTTCCTCCTTTTTTTCACAGAGCTACAGACTGGAGATGTTTCAGTAGAAGGCTGGGATCCATGGGCTTGGGGTGGGACTTGTGAAGATGCATTGGTGTCCAGGTTTCGTATCCTGTCTATGGAATTCCTCTTCAGCTGGGATTCCATTAAGGCAGTCCCCTCAGACAGAATTGGAGATGTGGAGAGATGATAAGGAATTACCTCCTGAAAAAGAAAAAAATTCAAATCATAAAACATGTTAGCTCTTTCACCAGTCATACAACCAGCAACCTATGTACAAATTACCAAAAATATCAGTTATTTACTCTTCAGAAAAATAACAAGGATTAGACATCCGGATACTCATTATGCTCCTATGGCATATGGAAATTTTTTCCATAGCTCCATCTCCTTAAACAAACCAGGGACAATACTCTTAATACAACATCCTCTGAGCATCTAATATTGGCCAGGTTACGGTGTAGGTTTCTGTCCACCTCATGTAAGATACAAAGCAGAAACAAAATCTTAGTTCAGAACATTTTGTAAAATACAATTCCCCTTCACAACACAGATGACAGATAGCATCAGATAGGTCAATGGTTTATAATTAGGTCACACAAACACCCTACTATGCATTCATATATATATTCATCTCTAGATATTCATGGAAGTATTTCCAGTAGTTTTCAGTCACCAAATAACTCAAATAACTGTTACCACAAAAAAAATTTCAAAAATAAAGGTATTCATAAAACTCTCATCTGAAACTGGTAATATACTCTACACAGGAATCTGAACACTCACCTACTCTGGACAGTGAAAAAATTATTTGGGATATATAAAGAGAAATGCCTACAAAAGTTTCCTTATATTACATTACATATGGACTACTCAAAGTTACTGTAACCATAATTTATTTGGACCAGTATTTCACCACAGCACAACAGCAGACATTCTCATTGAAATACACAACTAATAGTTGTGAGATCATGTTTATGAGAAGCACCAGAATTAATGTGTGCACAGATGTTTACAGAGCATGTGCACTTTTACTAGCTGTCTGGTGCCTATGTTCAAATTAAAGATTTCTGCAAAAAAACAGGTCCCTGGACATTAACCTCTTCCATGCAACTTTGAAGCATGTGAACTCTGTAGCTGCCATCTCTGTTCACATACTGGCATGTAAATTATTTCTTTTTCAATCATGTGATTATCTTCAGCTTTTTCAAGTCTCAGCAATTTAAAAAAAAAAAACCTGAATTAACAGCATAGCATTAAATTTCCATAGCAGAAAATTGTCCAGAAACTGTCAAAACTATAAAATGAATAAAAGTATATTTTTCAACAAAATTCCTAAACTCAAAACTGATTTTGAAGAGCTGGCATTGGATTTTTAATGAATTAAAAGTAATTTTTATTCTTACCTGATCATTATCTGTCTCCTGCACAAAAAAGGCCTCCCCATTGTCTCCCAGTTTCATGTGCAAATCTACAGCCTCTCCATTAATTTCTATGTCAACCTGGAAGGAAATAAATATATTCCTATATGAAAGAAAGTTAATCCTACTGCTGACACTGGGCAAATGCTTCTAAGGGAAGTGTAGGAAACATTACAATAAACAGGAAATAGTGACCTACTCTTTTTCTTTCAGTACCCCTTCACAAAGCAATCAATTACAAAGATGTTCTTCTAACTTGTTCAGCTCATTGATACCTTGCTCTTCTACTCAGAAAGGTTTATAGTCATTACATAAAGTTCTGAATCTTTTTGAATGAAATTCTGAATGCTTCACTTGCCACACAAATCTATTTGCTCTCTTAATTCATAGCCTATTTTTTAATTGTGCAAGCAGTACTTCCAAATGCAAATTCTTAATATGCTGTCTTTCAAATTCATTAAAGAGACTTATTTTCACACTGTGAGAAGCACAAATGAGAAAAATAATTTTACATTCAATTCCTGTGACTATTCCTTCCACACATTTATCCTATCACTGTACAGCCCTATCTATCTCCATTTCTTCTCAGGAAGATCTCTCTCTCTTTGACTATAACCATGCTTGCCACCAACTCCATTTTCACTGTAAATTTTTTGGAGACTTGCGCAGGTCTACAAGTCTATTTCAGGACATGGTACACCACTGGCACAGTAATACCTTTCAACAGTTACTGAATCAAAATATTGGAATTTCTTTCTGATCTGTAAAAATTGAACAATGCCCATGCTGACTTTAGGATCTTTCTACTGAAAATTCTAGCTACGGTAGAACCTAAGCTCTATGGAGTGAAAACCTACTTCCTAAAATAATCTGTCACACTGGTAACTTCACATCTGATACACTTGCAGGTCACTCAGCCTAGTTACATTTATTTCAAGATCCTCACTGAGTTTTTTTCTAGCTTCAATTAACCTCATGGTTTTATTATCTGAAAATATTACTTCATTAATATCTCCCTTTTTGGAACTATCACTGAACATATCATTGAACACTGAACAAAGAAAAGGGTTTTAATGAGTCACTAATGAAATCTAGTATAGTTTCAAATTAGCACATTTGAAATTTTGCTTTATCGAATATAAATATTACAAATTTCATGACTAGTTTTGTTTTTTATTATAGTCAATTCTGTTTTTTATTATAGTTAACAAATTATGCTCTGAACTGCAAGAATCAGTAACAACCATTTAACTGAAACTTGAATTAATTCAGGCTGTTTATAAAAGGCATCTAAAGAAAACCTCAGCTAGCAGACCAAAGAACATTCAGTAATTTCCATGCTATTACAGTTAACTCACAGACAGGACATATAAAAAAAAATGACACATTTTCTTACCACTTTCTCCCTGGAACGTAGAACTCCCATTTTCCCGAAGCGAACGTGAAAAGGGGAACACTGAAGATTTCCATCTGGCTGACGTACAACGATTATATCTATACATCCTGACAGTGTGGCTGGGTTTAGACCCTTATAGAGCTCCTTCACAGTTACAAACACTTGCCCTGCTAACTGTCCAACGTAATTCATGGTTTGGACCTGAAAGGCAAAAGGTAGAACAAATTGGATTTTGATCCCTGCTTTGTATTTTGGAGACGTGAGAGATGGAGAATCTTGCAGTGGGGTATTCTCCTGTTTCACAAATTAACAATTTTGCACAAAATCAGGATTTCCCACCTGATTTGTTTACAGCATGTTTGTAGAGAATTATAAGGGACCTTGTAAGTCAGAAAATTGTAACAACTTTCAAAGGTTCATTAAAATCAGTTGAATTCAAAACCACTGTCAGACTTTGAGACTCTGAAGCTCAAATGTCTCCAATTATCTCTGAGGAGAAAAGCATTACTTCCAGAACAACATCTCCTCCTAACATTTATTGTGCCCTCAACACCAGAAATACTTTTTTGTGTGTATTTCCACAGGCTTTTAAAGGCAGGGCAAGTGAATAGCTTTGAGCATATCTAATTTTACACCACACTAAAGGCAAAGACTATTTTCCCATCTTTAAGTGATTTCTCCCATTAAAAGGTTATTATAAAGCATTCAGACAATAGATATGCATTAAGGTTGAACATTGTTTCCTAATGCAACTTTACTATTCTTGTTTCAAACAGCCTTTTTAAACAGTATCTGCACTTTCATTAAAAATTACAATTATGTTGACAGTTGAAGTGATATGCTTTATTTCCCCTGCTCCTGCATTTATTTAGTATTAGGCATTTAGCTTTAGTTTGCTGCTTCCACATTATTAATACACATCCTGTTCAATATATTTAGTCCCCCAGAAATGACTAACATGCATATTTAGACATGCTTAAAAGATAAGAAAGTCTTTCAATGGCTCCCAAAATATGAGTGAATTTAAGCAGATACTTTCCTGAACAATATAGATTTTAAAGACTTCCAGTGTCTATAATTTTCACTATTTTTCCAGCACCTCTTGCAGATTCCAAGATACTGGTTTCACAAAGTCCTTGTGCACACAGGATAGAGCATAAGACTCACAAGCTCTTTGCTAGTCTGTACTACAGCACCTGGACATCAATAAAAGTGACAGTTGCAGGGTAGGCAACTCTGAAACTCCCATTGATGGTGATGAGAACAGAACTGAGCTCAGAGCCTGAGACAAACACTGCACAGCAGAAGCATCTGCTACCATAGAGACTCTTTCAGCTGTGTTCTTTCATAGACAACAAAAAAAGATGTATGAGATGCTGCAAAACGGCTCCAAATTTTAACTGTGATTTACAGTTATAAACAAAAGACTATTTAAAGAATGCTATGAAAGCACTAGAGTGAAAAAAATCAGAAAATTAGGAAATGCTATACTTAAGGCAGTTTTCTTCCATGCATTGCTGTTCTAATTAACTAATGTTCACCTGTGGTTTTTTTCAAAAGTCCCTCCAAATTGTGTGGACTGAGGCTTTGCTTTCTTCTCTGCTTCTGTTGCAATACACAGGTCAGAACACAAACTGTGCTCTGAAGGAAGAACTATTTACAGTAGTCATCACTACATTGTCCCTGAAAAACAATCATGGTTTTCCCATCTGATAACTGGGGAGTGGAACCACAAAAAGATTAAGACTAAAACTAGGCACTAACTTTAAAAATTCTGGCTTGTTTTCTAAGTATTCAGTGTACAAGATGCTGCCATGGTTTAACCCCAGCCAGCAATAAAGCACTGCACAGTCACTCACTCACAAGCAATTCCCCATCCTAAGCAGGATGGGTGAGAGAACCAGAAAAGCGAAAGTGATAAATTTCATGGGCTGAAATAAAGACAGTTTAATGGGACAGAAAGGGGAGAAAATAATGAAAAATTGTAATAAAAATTATAATAAAAATAACAAAAGAATTTCAACATATAAACAAGTGATGTCCAATGCAATTACTCACTACCCACTAACCAGCTCCCAGCCATTCTACAAGCAGCAGCCCATGGCCAATTTCCTCCCCCAGTTTATATTCTGGCCATGATGGTCTACAGTATGGAATATCACTTTGGCCAGCTGGGATCAGCTGCCCTGGCTGTGTTCCCTCACAACTTCTTATGCTTCTCCCACTATGTCATTGGCAGGACACTAAGCCATCAAAAATCCTTAACATAATGCAAGCACTGCTCAGCAACACCTAAATCAGCAGTGTGCTACCAACATTATTCTCATCCTAAATCCCAAATACAGAGCTGTATCAGCTACTAGAAAGAAACCTCTGTCTCAGCCAAAACCAGGAAAAATATTAATTAATGGAAGAATAACCCCTACACAGTGTTTGGAGAAGTGAGGGCTGTTTCTGCACAGCCCTCAATTCAGGCATCCAGAAAGTGCCACCTACTGAAAACCCAATGCACAAAACCTTCATGGCAATTATATTCCTTTATCCAGCACTGAACTGGTATCAGCACTTCTGGCTCCTGTTATCCACTAGAAACATCACCTTCCTGAATGCAAATCTAGTGGCAAGCTGTTTCACAGGGAGCAGCACTTGAAACTCATGTCACACCCTATGCTACGTGAAATGTCTACAGAACAATAGGTCGGAACAGACTTCTAAAGGTCACCTGGTCCAAACATCTGCCCAAGGCTGCCCACAACCTTGATCCTACAGAGTTCTCAGTGTCTTCAGGATGGAGATTTCTCAGCCTTTTTGATCTCCTGATCCTATGTAGCCCTGTCCTCACAGAGTAAATTTTCTTCATGATACCTAACCTGATTTTCACATGTTGCAGCTTGTGCCACTGCCTCTTGTCCTACCACTGTGCATTCTAATATCCCAGCTGTTTCCTCTACACCCCCCAAAAAGTAACTAAATATTCTGAAGAATAATAAAACTAGTTTTCTTGGCCTCTGCTTCTAAGTCATAAGGTCTTAGTCCCCAAATAACCTGGGGGCCAACAACCAAAAACCTAAAAAAAAAAATCTCTTAAAAAAGTTGGCATGACACAGGCAAAAATATAAGTTCAGAAGCCAGCCTCCAGGCTGGCAGATATAAGCAAACTTTTAAAATTACCCCTTTGCGGGGAAAAAAAAGTTTTACTGGCAATTTTTCCAACCTAAAGCACAAAAACAAACACATTTCTTATTGAGCTAAATTAAATGCAAATATAGCTACAGTTAGAGTCAAAATCACACAGTATAGCTGACCCCAGTAAATGCTTGGTCTGCTGAAGTAACAAAATTTCTAGCTGCAAAACAGCCATTACTTCCTTGGTGGAGAAGTAGCTGCTGGGACTATATATAAACCCCACTGTTTGGGAGAGCTCTGGGCAGACAACCCAAACATGAGGACTCACACATCCTCATTAGAAGTCACACCAGCTGGGCTCCTAAAATCCTAAACACAGAGTTTTGCAACTATTCTTGCTCACAACAAATCTTAGCTTCTCTGCCTGCCCTGTCTTTGGATACAAAGATTATTTTTATACCCACAAATTAGAAAAGGTGGAGACCATCCACAAGCTCTAAGGCCAATCAGCTCAGCAGAGCTTGCTTCCATACAGTGGAAATCTCTTATCCCTTCAAAAGTGACACATTCAAACTGTGAGCTGGTAGTGGACACTCCTCTCAAGCGGGGCTGAACCTGGCATGTGCAAAAAATCCACTGTGGAATTCAAAGACAGACTGGGAAACTGATCACACAAACCCCACTTCCCCAAGAAACTTACAAAAATGGGTTTATTTTTCAAATGTAGGGAACAAAAGATGCTGTAGTTAAAATGGGGAAGAGTTCAGAAATTAGACTCTGACGGTTGTATGCCCTCTATCCTACCTTTTATGCAAGCCAAGCAATGCTGAGATTGTTTGGAGTCTGAGGTTTATTAAGTTTGTACTCCAAATCTAAAGTTGATCCATGCCATGTCAGCAGTCCAGGAAACCAACACTCCTCAAACCCCAGAGGGACTGGATGTGGTTTTGGAGCAACACTTCACTCTGGCCACTCCAAGAAGTCTTTCACTTACTGACGAGGCAGCAGCAACTTCAGCAGTAAACATGAGTTTACATCGTGGGTTACACCCCCAGTACCTGCCTGCTCATGATACTCAGTTTAGTTTTTACTTGTTCTCATACCATGCTAGTGGACATAGCACAGAATATTTTTTCGTGCTGGGAAAATTCAGATCCTTTGATCTAAGCTTGCAAGTGAGAACAGTCTGTACTGCTTCTGTCAGGATTCTCAAATGGTCTGAGTTTTTTCTTTGCCAGAAGACATTTCACAGCTCTATATTTTGCATTGATTATAAAATTAAAGGTATTTTCTAGTGTAATTTTAAATGTAAATCTAACTAGCAGCACCTTTCAGATAGCCTAGAAAATTTCCAACTCTTTTGATTGTTAAAGACAGACGCCATTTTTCAGAATTTATCATCATGTGAAAAAATAAGTCAAAAATAAACAGCTGGTGATCTCCCTTATTATTAACTGATTTATTCACTTAGTAAAGACTGACCTAACAAAATAAGTAATTCTTTATAGTCCCACTTTTCTGGATGCCACAGTAAGATCAAACACACCGTCATCTAGATAATCCACTTCTTTCATACAGGTACACGACACTATGTCCTAATTCCACTGGAAAAGCCAGTAAAAAGCCCTTGTGGCATGGTTTTGGTTGTTTGTTTTTCTGGGGATTTTTTTACAGCTCAGCTCTTCCCCTTACCTCATCTTTCTTTACTGCAATTTTCAAAATAAAATACTGAAAATCATAGAGACTAAGGCCCTTTTTTTCTTTTGCAGTACCTGGTGTCTTGTCAGGTGCCACAACATTAATGAATAATAGATTAGATATCCACACATATCCAAATTACTAAGGGATGTAAATGCTATTCAACATGCTCTAAAAACAGACAGTTGATTTAGGTAGCGTGCTGTAAGGGTAATTAAAAAGTCAAACACACTTCCTCTGGAAGATATGAAATTTCCAATGCACAATATTTTGAAAACAGGACAAACATCTGCAGGAACTGGTTTAAGAACAGACAATTGTAACCTTTGGGAAAGATACTGGTGCTCTGCCTGTGGCCAAGGCAGTAAATCAACCCA